CTCTGACTAAAAGAACAATTACTTAAAGAATATCCAACTAACCAAAAATTAAGACTTTTCTCATGTCAAAATAACCTCAAAGTAGCAAGCTTTCTTCTTCACGTTTTATAGCCCTTTTAACACTGGAAAATTTTTTTACACTAATACTTGTAAAAAACAACACATACATGTTAACTTTACAGATTATTTGGGGTCAATGAAAGTCCTAAGCATCACTCCAATTACCTGCCTTGAAAATACAGAGTAAATTAAAAAAAGACTGATCCTTTTTCAGTTGTGTAACGTGCTCTAAACACTTAACAGTACAATTTGTATAGCGCTGACAACATAATCTGTTAAAACCAATGATATAATAACATATAGTATATAAAAAAAAAAAAAGAACTGAAGAACACCCCAAAAATCCCCACTGTCCTGGATTTTCATCACCCTGATTTGTGCTCAATAGGCTATTCGTTCAGGCATTGATGTTTCCATTTAGATTATCTGTCATTTATCCAGGACTACAATTTTTTTAAAGAGTACTTTCATTCCTTCTTCCCACTAAGTTTTAATAGGGAAGCACAGAAATACTAATTTCCTATGTTTTTAAAACAGCTCAGTTCTTGGGAGAGGGGGGCATCCGTGACCCAGGGGAGGACTATCTTCCTGAAACTATCCCTGCTCTTGGCAGACATCAGCGCACAACTGGCTTCATGCATTATGCAAGGGGCCGCGCAAATGCGTGCTAAACTTCTGCATGTGTATTTGTCATAGTTTTCAGGAAACAGGATGTACACGAAAACACTGTCAAATACGAGACGTTTACTTTTTCAGAAGTCCAAATAAGACCAAAAGATACAAACCGATTAAATTATGTAGACCACATAATGATCAGATCGTTACTCACAGGAGAAAGACCAAGGATGACTAATGACATTATTATACAACCTGCTAGGCGCTATCCCTTTGACTACAGAAAAACGGGGCACAGAAGTATTTTTTTTTAGACCAGCCACGTT